TTTGGCAATAATCTTTTAGCTATGACATTAAAGGAACAGGAAGCAACAAAAAAAATTAGAGCAACTGGCCAGATGCAGTGACTCACGCCTGTAATCATAGCACTTTTGGAGGCCAAGGAAGGTGGATCACTTGAGGTCAGAAGTTCGAGACCAGCCTGGTCAACATGGTGAAACCCCATCTCATACAAAAATTAGCTGGGCATGGTGGTGCATATTTATAATCCCAGCTACTCAGGAGGCTGAGGCAGGAGAATCGCTTGGACCTGGGAGGCAGAGGTTGCAGTAAGCTGAGATAACACCATAGCACTCCAGCCTTGGTTGCAGAGTAAGACTCTGTCAAAAAAAAAAAAAAAAAAAAAAAAGGCAATTGGACTATATCAATAAAGTGAAAGACAACTTGCAGAATGGTAGAAAAAAATTGCATATCACATATCTGATATTCAGAATTTATAAAGAATTCCTACAACTCAACAACAACAACAGCAGCTCCAATTTGCAAATGAGCAAAGGGGTCTGGCATGGTGGTTCACATCTGTAGTCCCAGCTGAGATGGGAGGATTGCTTGAGCCCAGGAGTTCAAGGCTGCAGTACACCATGATTGTAGTGAAAAGCCTCTCCATCCTGGGCAACATAAGGAGCGAGTACTGGTTTATTTAAAAAAAAAAAAAAAAAAAAAAAAGAGGAAGAGAGGAGGAAGAAGAAGAAGAAGAGGAAGAAGAAGAAGAAGGAAGAAGAAGAAGAAGAAGAAGAAGAAGAAGAAGAAGAAGAAGAAGAAGAAGAAGAATCAGCAGCAGCAGCAGCAAACAGGCAAAGAATTTGAATAGACATTTATCCAAGAAGATATACAGACACCAACAAACACAAGAGGTTCAACATCACTAATCATTAGGGAAATGCAAATCAAAACCACAATGAGATGCCACTTCACACCCATTAGGATGACCATTATAAAAAATTAACAAACAAACAACAAAACAGAAAATAAGTGTTAAGGATGTGGAGAAATTTGAACCCTTTGCTCTGCTGGTGGGAATATAAAATGGTGCAGCCACTGTGGAAAATAATATGGCAGTTCCTCAAAAAGTTAAACAGAGAATTACATACAATCCTGCAATTCCATATATACCTCAAAGAATTGGAAGCAGAGACTCAGTTACTTCTACACCCATGTTCATAGCAGCCTATTCTCAATAGTCAAAAGATGGAAGCAACCCAAGTTACCATCAATGTATGAATGATAAAAAAAATGTGATATATACATATGACAGAATATTATTCAGCCTTTAAAAACAGGAAATTCTACAACATGGATGAAACTGGAGGACATAATGCTAAGTGAAATAAGTCACAAAAACACAAATACAGTATGATTCCACTTATATGAGGTACCTAAAGTAGTCAAACTCATAAAGACAGAAAGTAGAATGGTAGCTGCCAGGGTCTGGGGGAAAGGGAGAATGGGTAGTTGTTGCTTAATGAGTACAGAATATCAGTTTGGGAAGACAAAACGGTTTTGGAGAGAGATAGTCGTGATTGTTGCACAATGTTGCACATTGTTGTGAGTGTACTTAATGCCACCGAACATACACTGAAAATGGTCAAAATGGTAAATTTTGGCCGGCGCAGTGGCTCCCGCCTGTATTTCCGAGGCGGGCAGATCACAAGGTCAAAAGATCGAGATCATCCTGGTCAACATGGTGAAACCCCATCTCTACTAAAAATACAAAAAAAATTAGCCGGGCGTGGTGTCAGGTGCCTGTAGTCCCAGCTACTCGGGAGGCTGAGGCAGGAGAACTGCGTGAACCCAGGAGGTGGAGCTTGCAGTGAGTCGAGATCACGCCACTGCACTCCAGCCAGGCAATAGAGAGAGACTCCGTCTCAAAATAAATAAATAAATAAATAAATAAATAAATTTTAATTATTTGGATTTCACCACAATTTTTAAAAAGATGGCATGTGCCTTATTTCTCCACTGTAAAGTTAATAAATATCTGTACTTATCAGCAATTATTAAGTATTTTGTAATAAGATAATTTGAAATTATATAATTTCAAATAATTCACACCAATAGTTCGAATACCAATCCAACACCACAAGATTTATTCTAGCATCCTCTGTTACCATATTTGTAATTTCTCCAACACTGAAAACCTAGCTCCTATTATCCTCAATATACTTTTTGGCAATCCCCATATGTAATCAATCTCCTAACTACACAGGCCATCTTCCTAAACCTGTCTCTGCCAAACCTGCCAGCTAAATTCTTGACCCTGGCCCCACTGATTGTGCCAGCCTAATTCTTGGCTCTGACAAAGAAGAAGAGGAAGGTGAAGTGAAGGCCCTCAATTTTGAAGAACATTTTCACTGGATATAGAATTCCAAGTAGACAAATTCTTTTCTTCTTTCATCACTTCATTTATTTATTCATTTATTGAGACTGAGTCTCACTCTGTTGCGCAGGCTGGAGTGCAGTGACATGATCTCAGCTCACCTCGACCTCCACCTCCCAGGTTCAAGAGATTCTCATGCCTCAGCCTCCTGAGTAGCTGGAATTACAGGTGTCCACCATGACAACCAGCTGATTTTTGTATTTTTAGTAGAGGTGGCGTTTCACCATGTTGGCCAGGCTGGTCTCGAACTCGTGACCTCAGGTGGTCCACCCACCTTGGCCTCCCAAAGTGCTGGGATTACAGGTATGAGCCACTGCGCTCAGCCTCATCACTTTAAAGATGTCTTTTCATTCTAGTTTTCATTGTTGCCTATAAAAAATTAGCCATCATTTTTATTGTTATACCTTAAAATGTACTATGTATTTTTCCTTTGGATGCAGTTAAGATTTTCTCTTTATCTTTGGTTTATAGCACTTTGACTACAATGAGCCTAGGTGTGGTCTTCAAATAATTTATCTGCTTGGGGTTCTCTGAATTTCTTGGACATGTAGATTGATATCTTTCATAAAATGTGGAAAAATTGAGGGCATTTTATCTTCAAATATTTTTTCTACCCCGTTCTCTCTCCATTATACCTGTTAGATTATTTTATATTATCTCATTGTTCTCTATAACTCTGTCCTGTTTTCCTCCTTTCATTTTCTCTCTGTGCTTTAATTTGGATAATTTCCATTAGCCTGTCTTTAAGTTTCCTCATCCCCTTTTCAGCTGTGTCCATCTGCTGGGAAGCCCATCCCCTGGATTCTTCACGTCAGATTACCATATTTTTCCGTTTTAGAATTTTCATTTAATTCTTTTTAGAGTTTCTCTTTTTCTTTTCTTTTCTTTTCTTTTTTCTGAGATGAAGTCTCACTCTGTTGCCCAGACTGGAGTGCAGTGGCACGATCTCAGCTCACTGCAACTTCTGCCTTATGGGTTCAAGTGATTCTCCTGCCTCAGCCTCCTGAGTAGTTGGGACTACAGGCGCACGCTGCCACGCCTGGCTAATTTGTTTTTTGTATTTGTAGTAGAGATGGGGTTCACCGTGTTGCCCAGGCTGATCACAAACTCCTGAGCTCAGGCTATCCCTCCCCTTGGCCTCCCAAAGTGCTGAGATTACAGACGTGAGCCACCACACCCAGTCGAGTTTCTCTTTTTCTATTGTAATTTCATCCATCTCTTTTGCCATTTCTTCAATCTTTTCCTTTACATATTGTAATTTATTGTCTCACGGCATCTGGTAGGTCAGAAATCTGCATGTGGTTTAGCTGTCTTAGCTAGATGACTCTGGGTCAAGCTCGCTCATAAGGTTACAGTCAAGCTGCCAGGCAGGGCTTTGGTCTCATATAAGGTTCAACAGGAGAAAGATCTTTTAAATTTTAAAACATTTATGAGTTTAAACTCCTTCTGCGTTAATTCCAGAATCTTGGTCATCTGTAAGTCTCTTCAGTTGACCACCTTTTCTCTTAATAATGGGTCAGTTTTTCCTCTGCTGCTTTACATGTTCAGCAATTTAAAAAATCTTATGCTGGGCATAGAAAAATTCCGGATTTTGTTATCTTCCACTGAAGAGTGCCAAATATTTTTCTGAAAGAAAGTTAAATTACTGGTAGATCACTTTGATTCTGTTGAGGTTTATTTTAGGCCTCTATGATGAGTCTATTTCCGGTTTTCCTTAGTTCTGGGATTTGGCTCTTACTCATATGGCATGGTCCTTACACCTAGGGCATGGTCTTTTTGGTGTCTCAACATGGTATCTCCACTCTTGAGTGGATCAGAACTCCAGTGTCTTCATAGCTTTGTGCAGCTTCTGAAATCTAGGTTTGGTTTTCAGCTCCTTCAGCTGTATTTGCTGGTATAGCTTACAGAATCTTGCCAAGCACATATGCAGTTTACCATTTGGCCAAGAGCCCAAAGGAAACTCCTATGTGGATTCCTGGGGCTCCTTCTTTGTCACTCTTTTCTATCTACCTACCCTGTCCTGTAATTTCCAGTAACCTTTGCAGGCCCCAACTCCAATTTATTTATCTATTCCAATTCTCTGAAAGTGGTTTGGAAAATTGCCCCCCAAGGTTGAATGTAAAATTCTCATTTTGAGCTCCTTTTCTCTCAAGGATTATAGTCGTGCACTGTGCCTTATCCCATGCCCAAAAGAAATTGTTTTGTACATTTTGTTTAGTTTAATAGTTGTTTATGGCAGGAGGGAAGGTCTGATGTTAGTTACTTCATGATGTCCAGTACAAGAAGTCCACAAATACTTCTTATGTTTTTATAGACCAATCCTATTCTTATATAGTGGAAAATTAAAGGTAGGCAAACAAACCTACATCATATAATTTCCAGTTTAGTCCTCTACATGATAAGAAACACATGTGGTGCTTATTGTT